TATATATATATATATACACATATATATACATATACACATATATACATATACACACATACACACACATACATACATACATACATACAAACAAACACACACATACATATATATATATACACATATATACATACATATATATACATACACATACATACACATACACACATATATATATATATATATATATACACACACATACATACATATATTATACACACACACATACACACAAAGAAAAACAAGTAGATAGAATAGAAAAAATAGAAAGCTAGTATTTGTTAGTTTTTTGTTGTTGTTTTTTTAAATAAAAAAAATAAAACAAAAAAGAAGATAAATATAGATAGAGTGAAAAATTTAAGGGGGTCTGAATACTTTCCGTACCCACTGTATATATATATACATATACACACATATACACATATATATATACATATACACATATATACATTTACACACATACACACACATACATACATACATACATACAAACAAACACACACATACATATATATATATACACATATATACATACATATATATACATACACATACATACACATACACACATATATATATATATATATATATATACACACACATACATACATATATTATACACACACACATACACACAAAGAAAAACAAGTAGATAGAATAGAAAAAATAGAAAGCTAGTATTTGTTAGTTTTTTGTTGTTGTTTTTTTAAATAAAAAAAAAAAAAAAAACAAGCAGATAAATATAGATAAAGTAGAATTAAAATAGAATAGAAAGTGCTAGAGCTAGAGGGTCAAATAAAGGTAGAATTAAAGTAGATAGAAAAAAAATATGTGTAAGTAAATATATTTGGTAGTTTAAACACCTTTATAATGACCATGCTAGTTGATCTAGGTGATGGGTGCCGCATTGTTAGTTTGCACTGAATCCTAGCTGTGGGATTTACAACACATGAATTCATCCTCTCCTTCCGAAAGACATGAAAGTTTCCGGTGAACTGGGAGAAGAGTAGAGTGTATATGATATCAATAAAACATTCATGTCGTCGAATTATAATTGAATGGATTGTTATTTCCGGTTCCATAGACATCGGTGTGTATTTTACAAACTATAAATGTATTGTTTTGCTAGTACTTATGTGTATTTAAATGTCTGAAACCTAAATTAAGCGTTATATGGTTGAAAACACGGAATAGTTGTGATATGACAAGCACTCAGCGTGTTCGTATCTGAAAGCGGATGTGAAGTTAGCAGTTGGTCACGTGACACACTGAACGTTCTAATCGCACCGGTGAGATCGTATTCGTCAAAGGGTTAAAAAAAAAAACCTTCCACATTAAACATTTCAGAAATAAACCGATCCATGAACAATGTATAAATAACGCTTTTGTTCTAACTTGTTAAGAACAATATTAAAGACCAGTTAACGCCCCAGCCAACAAAAACATGTTCTAAGAATATTTTGCTAACGTTTCATTTAGTTATGAAAATATTATTTCCGAATGTTCTCAGAACATTTAGAACTTTAAACGTACAGTTTTAAAAGCTTTTTTCTTGGTTATACGAACGTTAAAGGAACATGCAAACATTATGGGAATGTTATTTTTGGAATGTTCTTTGAACGTTCTGAAACAAGTAGTAACATAAAAAAAACATCAGAAGAACGTCTAACTAACACGTTTCGAATGTTTTATAAATGTATGCTTTATGAACGATGAGATATTTATAAATGTGTCTGAGCTTGCTGCATTTCATTAAATTTGGTAGCCCAAAAAGGCGACCTTTCACCAACACCAGTTGAAATGTTCTTCAAAATATCAATATTCAGATGAACTATCCCTTTAATTCTAAGTCTACATACAAGTCAATTCAGCTTTATTGCTTTATCAGACAGACAGACAGATCCATGATACGCCGCGGTAGGTCCTCTAGCGCAGTGAACCCGTGTTAATAAGCCCAAAAAAACCATCAGCCAGCACACCTGAATCCAAGCGCTCTGTCAGTCAAGTGGCAGTCATCTGCAGCTAACAAACAGACACGTTTTGCTTCATTTCACCCCGAATCAGTGCATTTCCATGTAATTAAATTCAAGGCCTGCTGCCATGCCCACCGGGCAGCTTGTCAAGCCACCCCTTTAAT